AAGTTGGCCATGTTGGGTCTGTGTGCCAAGTTTGGTCCAGATCTGACGTTGACTGCGCTCAGTGTTCTCTTCATGCGGGTGAACTATAACTCCCATATGCCGAAGACCATAACCCCCAAAGTTGTTGGGTCTGTGTGCCAAGTTTGGTCCAGGTTCATTGTCATTGGGGGTCGCAGTTCTGTGTCTTGATGCGGGTGAACTACAACTCCCATATGCCAAAGACAATCATCCCCAAAGTTGACCATGTTGGGTCTGTGTGCCAAGTTTGGTCCAGGTTCATTGTCATTGGGGGTCGCAGTTCTGTGTCTTGATGCCGGGTGAACTACAACTTCCATCACGTTGAGTCAGTCCCCCGACCTCCTCCAGTATGTTCAGTTGCCATAGGGAAGGGTTAAGGGAGAGGCAGCGGGTGCGGTCATGCAAATTCGACACCAGTGGAGAGAGAAAGGAACACTGGGATGTGGGGGTCTCTTCCAACTCTATGATTCTATCATCCTGATGCAGGGGAGTCCGCCTCCGGCTCAGAAGAGGAGGAGGAGGAAGAAGAGGAAGAGGAGGAGGAGTCGAGTAGCGAAGAATCCGAAGAGGAGGAGGAAGAGGAGGAAGAGGAAGACGAGGAGACGGGAAGCAACTCCGAAGAAGTGTCTGAGCAGTCGGCTGGTGAGTGATCGATCCATTCAAGGTCTCCGCAGCACCCATAAAACAGCAAGGGGCACCCCTTGGCCAAAAGTTATGACTTTGTTGTGGTTCAGAACAGCATTAACTCACCTGGTGTTGTTACGTGTGATGACACCATCACAGAGTTTCCTTTTTCCAAAGCCTCCCTTTCTGTTTGCCTTCCAGAAGAGGTGAGCGAAGACGAAATGAGCGACGAGGAGGAAAGGGAGAACGGAGACCACATCCCAGTTGGTAAGATCACACGTGCCGGGTTCCTTTCTCTCTATTGCGATGCACCTTTGCACATTTTTAATAGCGCACAGATCCGCCACCATTTCTTGTCTTCCTATGTAGCACTTTTTCTGTAA